GGCCACCACAGACTCCTCTGCCAGGCCGATGCAAAGCTGCCTTCAGCTTGTTTAGGAATGGTGAACTGGGCATTCAGAGGGCAGGGGAGCCCCACACCAGAGAGCTGGATAAATGTGGAGTTAAGAGATGAGAAATCATCTCCTAATTTAAGATCTGCCCCAAACACTGCCTGGTTTTTGACTGAAATCATATTATCACACTACTTATTATCATATCACATTACTTATATTATCATACTACTGCTGTCCTGCCAAACCTAAAACTGTACTTAGACCTCCTGCTAGTGTGGGCAGCCATGCACTGAAGGGCCTCAGAGGATTTCCTGGGTGTGAGGCAGAAAAATTACCAACAGTCTGATTTTGTTTGGTTGGAATAAATTTATTTCATCTGTCTGTAAACAAGGTGTTTTTAATAGTTATGGCATTTTTTGAAATGCATATTAAATCAGATGAGTTAGACTGTATCCCAGATGTAACAAAAGTGCAGGGAAAGAAATGGACAAATCAGCAACAAGAATTTGTTTAAATCTGTACATTATCCACAAGGCCCAACAATAGAAGCAAATACTAGAATGTCCCTAAGGTAGTGCCAGTCAAAAGAAACCCTCAGAGTCAGTTAAAATCCATCTCACAATAGCAACAGTTCAATTTTTTTTTTTTTTTAACAATAGTATGGCACAGAATACATATTAAAAAATTCATCACAAGACAGCCAAGTCAGTTATTCCAACCACTACCATCTCCCATTTATTCTTTAGTATACAGAGTTCTGCAGTTCTTGCAATGGACATACAGGTCAGAACCATGCCTGAACTGAGTTTGGTTACAGACATTTTCAGATGACTCGTGCACAAGGCAGCTCACTCCATCATTTCTGCAGCAAGGGTGTGACAGGCCAGATGAAGATTTTTAAATTTGAAATGGTATTTTGACAGTTTAGCTTACAAACTACCGACCTTCATCCAAACAGTGGCTTCAGGGCAGCCAAACTCTGCACCACTGAGTGACCTGGCAGAAAGACTGAAGTCAGTCAGAGCTCCCAGGGTAGGTGAAGGTGGCAGTTTTCCACAATGACATTGCAGTTTCATATTAAAAAACAAAAACACCACCCCCCACCCCCTGACCCCCAAGCTGCAAATTAAAATTGGTCCTATGAGAAACTGAAACCAGACACACTCCAGCTGGTTATACCAGGCTAGCTAATGGCCACAGTGGCAGCCTTGCACAAGTCAACTACAGAACAGGAGCTGGCAAAAAAAAAAAAAAAAAAAAAAAGGCCTGGGGTGCCTGAGCTATTGTAGTGATGGAATGTCTGGGGAGTCCTTAGGATGGTGGTTTAAGGTCATGGGGTCATGGGAGGAAGTACATCTTTTTTCTTTCATAGTTTTGTGATTGCACTTGTTAAGCAGTACAACCTTCAGACAACATCAAGAAAAAGCAAGAGACTTAAGCCTACAGTGAAGTGCAATGACAAAACTAATGTGACATTAATAGCTTTTGAGTGGCAAATTGGTTAAACAAACCAGGCACTATAAAAACGGGTGTAAGCAAACACATGGGTTTAAAAAACAGAAACAAAGAGAGGGACAGAAATGAAGATATGCACACACTTTTTTCCTCCCAACCGTGCTCTGTGAAAGGAAGACTAGTGAGCTGTGACTTGCTCAAAGTGCTGAAGAGGCATTGATCAAATTAGATTGTACAATCGGCACCTTGTTTAGTATCTCAGTTGGTTTAGCTGTCAATATCAACTAATTGCTAAGACGAAGCAGAGCCTACACTTGGCATGTTCCCCTCCCAAGTTATCATGCATATCTCATCATGGTGGTGCCAGATGGGCTCGGTTACCTACAGTGGTTACGGAGATGAACAAGGGGGAACTGGAGCTATGACAGTAGGAAATGGGTAAATAAAAAACACAAACTACCATCTACGGTCTGGCAGCACTGAGCACAAGCGGGTGGTGGCGCAGGCAGCTGCTAGGTGGATGGGGAGAGGCTGCTCAGACATCAGACCTCCTCAGGTATAGAGCCAGTTCATATGCTTTCTTGTTGAGTGTCCCTCCATGGACACCTTCCTTTCCCATGACTATAACCAATGCTGGAGTACACAAGGAAACAAAACAGAAATGAAAAGAATTAAAGGGAAAAAAAAAAAAATAACACCTTTCCCCACCAACAAAGGGATACAAAGGAGACACAGGTTCATACCCCATCACCCTGCATTGCTAGTAAAGTTTCCAGAATGTAAGGTTTAAAGCTCACCGCCAGGAAAGTTTAATAGCAATCTTCCCCTAATACTTAACAGTCTGCCTAACAACTAGAACCCAGAGTCTCTCAAGTATTTTGCCATTGAGTATGCCTTCTTATTCAATCCGCCTCCATGGACCCCTTCTTTGCCCATTACAAAGACCAAGACTGAAAGAGAAAAGAAAAAACAGTTTTAAAAAGTGTGTTAGACATGGAAATAATGCAAGTTTTAGGCAGTGCAATAAACACCCTCAAATTCAAGATTTACTATTTGGGTATTAAGCTAATTTAACAGTTTTGTTAAAACAGAGATGTAGACAGGGCTGGGAGAAAGTACAACCTATCCTCAGGGTTTTTTATCTAACTGTGGAAGTTTCAAGAGTTCACTGCTAAGAAAAATGCCACCAGCTATCAAAAAAGCACTACAGTGCCTCTCACCATCAGTCATTACCCAGCAAGGAAATCCTGGCGGCTGCCTGTGGGACCAGGGGTGCAGTGTGTGCAAGCATGACTGGAGAGTGGCAAAAGAAAATTCCCATGATCTGGAACCAGAGTAACTACCCTGATGCCAGTAAAAAACCCCAAAGGGTGAGTTGGGCTGAGACTTTCCATGCAATAACAACTACAAACTACACTTTTTACATAAGACAAAACACAGGGACAATTGTCATACTGAGGCTCTCCCCACTCCCCCAGTTCCAGCAAGGTGTCCCAGATGATGGTGAAAGGAACACTGGAGGCTCACTAGCAACAGCCACTGTGAGCTGCCATGAGACATCCCCCAACAGGGAGGGGACACAGAGAGCACGGGGCTGCCACAGGCCAGGGACTGCTCACCAAGCTGGGAACGCTGCTGCCAGGCTGCCCACAGGGGATCATACACTGGGGCCTCAGCTTGCACCGTGGAAGGTTTAGCTTGGATATCAGGAGAACTTCTTCACCAAAAGGGTTGTGCAGCCCTGGCACAGCTGCCTGGGCAGTGGCTGAGTCCTCGCCCCAGGAGGGATTTAAAAGCCATGTGGTTGTGGCACTTGAGGACATGGCTCAGTGCTGGCCTTGGCAGCACCGGGAGAAGGGTTGGACTCTATGATCTTGGAGGGCTTTTCCAACCTTAAAGACTCTATGATTCTATCTCCATAGCCATTTGCTCATAAAAGCTTAAGACAGTTCTCACTGTCATTTCACAAGTCAGAACTCTGCTTGTTTCACTTCAGTGCTGCCAACCCTCCTCCTGCATGCCTGCCCTGGGCTTTAGCCTACAGACATCTGCTCTGCCTTTGGTTCTACACCTATTAGTGAAAGTCTTGTCACTCATGGACCTTTCCACAGCCAGACCAAAAATGCTAGCCCAGGTGTTCCCAACAGAAGGCACACCACTCCCAGACAGTATTTCATATCCCAGATGAGTGGCTGCCCCATAACAGATTTTACTGGAAGTGAAATGAAGAGCACAAGGAGCGGGTGTCTGAGAATGAAGTACATTTCTCAGTGGTACCAAACTGGACAGGCTTTTTCTGCTTGGACAGACTTTAGCAGGCTCAATAGGAAGTGCAAGAGGAGTTAATGTAGAACTTTTTAAGCAGGAGCAGCTCATACATGAGATTCACAACTTTGCAGAATAAACTTTCCATCAAGCAATTTACAATGAGAAAGGTTGCAGTCACTGCCTGTTATTAACAGACACCTCCTGAGCTTCAGGTAAGAAGTGATGGAACACCAGCTAAGCCTGCTTGGGGCTGCAGCCTGCTTTTTCCTGCTTGTCACTGACCTGTTAACTACTGCACAGTCTGGGGCTGGGCTGGGATGCAGGTGGGAACGGGGATGAGTGTAATTCTCAGTCAGAACTCAGCTAGAGCACTGCCATCCACTCCCTTGCATCACTTCCCAAAATTAGCCATTAAATACAGGAGTTTGGTTTTCCCAATAGCCGGAGTCTATGCTTAGGGTCACATTCCTAATTTAACTATCTGAAGGTAGAGAGAAGAGCGCTTACCTCGTCCAGCTCTGCCTACAGCAACATTATATGTTGGCTCACCACCTTGACTCTTTGTCCTGATGTCCATTGTGCAGTCACCATCGACATACAGGCTATCTCTGATCACAGAGCACTTCTTTGCACCAAGGGTCAGACCATTGGTGAAGAAACCCTCTCGGTCTTTTCCTACAATCATATCTATTTCTCCTGGCTGTCAAAGGAAAGAGTTCAGAGTTAGCACGGAAGGGTACATTGCTGTAATTTCTATTTAGAACCGCTCCTGTCTGGTGTGGAGAGGCCGAGGCCGTGATTTCCCCTCGCTACCCGCAGGAAGTGCTCCAGAACACAGGGCTTTGTTAGGCGCAGTCCGCGCTGCTCCGCGGTGGCTGCGCGCGGGGGAGCCTCTGCCTCGGCGATTCCGGGCCCGAGCCCGTTAAACGGCGCCGGGCGTCTGCCGGAGCCTGACCCCGGGCTGGCGCGGACTCTGTCCGCACCTGTCCCGGGAGATCAGCCCGGGGCCTGCCCGCACCCGCGGCATCAGCCCGGCTCTGGCCCGCCCGCGGGGCCCGGGCTGCTCCCGCCGCCGCGGCCGCTCGCCGCTCCCGGCCCCGCTCCTGCCGGCCGCGCTCCCGCCGGCCCCGCTCACCGTGATGCTCTGGAAGATGCCGCCGGCCGTGGCTGCCCAGACGTACTTGGCGTCGCAGTAGCCCACAATGGCGGCCTCCTGGCAGCAGCCATCGCACATCAGGTTGTCCACGTAGCTCTGCCAGCCGGCCATGATCGCGGGGCGGCGGGCGAGGGCGAGCGGGCAGCGGGCGGGGGGGAAGGCCAGAAAGGAAGCTGGGACGGGCCCGGGGGCCGGGGCGGGGCTGCGGCCGGCCCCGGGACCAATGCCCGGTGCTCGCTGCCCGGGCCCGGGGCGCTCGGCCGTCGGAGAGCGGTGCGGGCAGTCCCGGGACTGCTGCGGGGACCGGCCCGGCCCGGCCCGGCCCGGTGGAATTGCGGAGTGGGCGGTGCGGGACCCTGCCCGCGCCCGGCTCGGACCGCACGGGGCCGGACATCCGTGCGGCCCCCCCGATGCCCCCACCGGAGGCCGGGAGCGGCCGGGATCGGTGAGTACCGGCGGTGGCGCCTTCCAGCCCGGCCCGGGGCTAGCCGGCCGCGGCTCCCGGGCTGAGGGAGAGGCGCTGCGCTGCCTGCCCGGCGGGCGGCCCCGGGGAGCCCTGAGGGGTCACGGCTGTGGGGCAGAGCGGTGCCCGCTCCGTGCCCAGAGGGGCTGGCGGCCCATGCTTGCCGTGCTGTGCCGACACGGCCCCGGGCAGTCGCTGCACTCGTTGTTTCTGTAATCGCACGTCTGCCTTATGGCCCCTCGGAGAGGGGTTGAGCCCCTGCCTGCCTCGCCCGTGCCCTTCATCCTCCCGCCCCTCACGGCTGCATCCCGTCTCACACACCAGCATCTGCTACATTTCTTTCTACAAGGGGTAGTAAGTGGTGATTTTGGGGTTTATTGTTCCAGGGGTTTATTCCAGGTTCCACCAAGTCTCTGTTGCAATAATTTAGTTCCACATTCCTTTACAACACCCGAGGCTGGTGCCATTGGTTTGCTGCACTGATACTGGGCCCTGGGCAGGGTGCCTGGGCTGCTCCAAGGCTGTCCTGGGTCGCAGGAGTGTTCACCAGCACCTAAAGGGTGTGTTTCGAGGCAATTGTTCTGTTTTCCATAACATTGAAATTGGTGGGAGATCATCTTGCTTTTGAGCAGGGTGGGTTTGCTTTATTGATGACTGTTGTGATTCTTGGGGCAGTGCAGACTGGTGGGATGTGGCCTGGCCATCCATGTCTGTAGCTTTGTGGCTAATAATTCAAGAAGTTAGATCTCATACCTGAATATGCCAAGGCATAGTATACAGTAAATGAATCTGCCTTTCCTGACCTTTCCTTTGCCTTTCCCTTTAGCCTTCTTTTCCTTTACCTTAAGTCCCCAGGTATTTATAATGGATACCCCTACAGCACACTTCAGGGTTTCATAGTCCTTTAACAACCTAGTTCCACTGTCATCAGAGTGAGTGTTGTTTAGTACTAATTGCTTGGATTACTAGGTACTTGGAAAAGAGCTCATTTGTATCTTTTACTGTAACTCCATAAGGGTTTTTTTTCTCTATTTTGTTTTCACAGTGCCTTTACCCCTCTGAATTTGGACAGCATCATCCATGTATCCCAGAAATATTCTCATGTCACTGTATCTACCAATGAGTTACAGTCTTTAAAGTTGCTTTTAGCTTTTAAAATAGCTAAAGCTTTATGAGAAGTTTGGCTTCCTTTCATCATCCTGCCTCCAGAGATTCCTTCCATGGGAAAGAGAAAAGGTTCTCTTCTGTCTGGAAGTGTCATTGAGGGTCACATCTCTATTTATTCCTGGTCTGTAGGAGGTCCCAGTTAAACATTCTTACTGACACAAAATTAAATGCATCCATCTGAAATGAATGGGGGGCTGATGAGCCCATTAGTTTTAGAGTCCAACCAAAATATATTTGATTTTTTTGTTGATTGTCTTCAAGTTGCAATAAGGATTCCAATTTGTGTTACTTTAATAAGTTGATTTAATGGATATAGAGACAGACATCTCGTGACCCAGGAGCAGGCCTTGAGGGTTTTGGAGCTGCTTATTTGCTATGCTAGCATCTTTATCCTTTGATTAATAAGAGGTGGGCTTGTCTTGGACAGCAGGCTGCTTGGTGCAGGCATGCAGGTATCTCACACGAGAAGCTGTGGGTTTCCAGGACTTTAGCAAAGGCTGTGCCCCTCTTGCCTAAGGGATCTCACCCTCCCACACATTTGTCCATCCCTTCTGCCCAGTGAGCACCTGTGCTCTCCTGAGCCCTTGCAGCCCAGCACCCAGTCCTGTTTGAGGGACCTCCCAGGGTCACTCCAGCCCAGGCTGGGCCCGGCTGTGCTGCTGCTCCCACGCCGTGCAGGGCCACGCTGGGCTGATGTGACAAGTGTTCCACCTGTGTGTCAGAGTGCACAGTGGGCCAGGTAATGTTGCTCCTGCCTCACAGGGAATATTACCTTTTGTAATAGCTGCACAGACCAGGTGATCAGTGGCTTGTGTTAGCCATACAGGGAATACAGACATCTGCTTTGAATGATTTAAATTGGAAATACCTGCGTGGAAGTCTGGGATCTCCTTAGCATAAATGGTTGGATCAGAGTAGAGGATTTCACACCTGCCTGGTAACTCAGCTTCTAGTCATGTTATTTGTGAACTAACTCTAGTAATATATTTAGAAAGTGAAGTCTAAATTGGGTTGCTATTATTTAATGTTTCAAAGCTACGAGGTAGCTTGTATAATGTGCAGATTCAGCAGTCACCACTCGTGTTTCTGAAAATCATGAATCTTTAATTTTATTTTCACTCTTAGGTGCCTCATTTGGTTGTGTGCTATGTTGTACAATTCTTACAATACTGTTTGTGTTGTAAGAATTGTACAACATAGCACACAACCAAATGAGGCACCTAATGTTGTACAATTGTTACAATACTGTTTGTGTAGGCACTACTGCAGCAGCACCTTTGAGACTGCTGGATTTAAGAAAAGGAGGGTATGCTTGGTATGTTAAAGATGGTAAGAGCAGAGGTCTCCAGGGCTGTTGGGTTTTTTTTTTTTTTTTTTTTTTTTTTTTTTTGCTATAAGAGTTAAGTGGAATTTGAGACATTTCTGAAGCAAAATATTTATATATGTATAAAATATCCTTGTTAAATTGATAGATGTAGTAGGTCATTTTAACATCAGTGCTAGACTCACATAGCAAATGGACTGCCTGTGAGCTATAGCCATATAGTAAATAGTTGTGAAATCATTATTTCTTGCATTTTAGTCTCTTCCTACATTTCACAACAATTTAGTAGTTGTTCTTTCTGGAATTTAATTGCACCCTCCAGCCACAGTTTGATAGGACTTTGTGCAGCTAGTAACAATTTCTGGTCTTTTGCTTCTGTTCAGAACGTTGTCTAAAATTGATGTTGGATCACATCTAAGAAAAAGAATAATATGGAAGAATTCTGAAGTACTGGCTGTGCTTAACCAGAGTGTACTCACTATCTACAGCTTTGTGAGAAACTGAGTGTTAGCTGGAAACAAATTACGAAAGTGACATATTAATATGTGGAAAACGTAAAACTAGGTTTAAAAAATATGGTAATTCAAAATGCAACAATCATGAAACCACAATACAGAGTTTTATTGCACAGCTACTAGTGCTGTGCAAGGTCCTGTCCCATGCCAGCACAGCTGTGGCTGCACTGCCTTGTACAATGGCACTTAAACCATCCAGAAAGTTCTGAAAAAAAGGTGCTTTTCTGGTGTATCTTGCATTGTTTGGAACAATGGTTTAACTCCATGTTAACTCTCCATTATGAGAGTTTCATCTCCTTAGAGGATTTTGGCCTGGTATAGTTTTACCAATAAGATAGCTCAGCAAAACCTTTGTCTTCCTATGTAAGACAGTTATGTAAGCAGTTCTGAGGGGGTTCCCTTGCTTATTCTTCATTTAACTATCAAATTCAAACAGAACAAACCCACAATGTAACTCTGAAAATCAGACGCAGGGGTAGGGATATGGCTGTGTCATATAAGAGCATGAAATTGCCTCTGTTGCAGTGGCTTCCAGAAGTATTTAAAATAAGAGGAAGGACAGTTCTTTGGGGATGTGATTTACAGAGCAGCCAAAGCACTAAAAAAGATGTCTAAAGTCATGGAACTTTGCTCAGCTTTAGGATTTTTAAGGTGAATTTTTTATCTTGCTGGTGGCCAACAGAAAATAAACCTTATTCCTAGAAATTAAAGTACATTGTATGTAAATTGGAGAGGTGGTCTGTGGTTCATAATGGTGTCTCTGATGAGTCCCTACGGGAGCAACAAGTACAGAATTAGGCCCATATGAAACAGCTTTCTGTGCCTCACAGTTACCAAGCAGTCGGACTCCTCTGTGCTTAGGTCCTGTAGTATTTTGTGTTACTTAGAGTCAAGCAAACAGAACCCAAATAGGTGACTGTTAACTGTTCAGTTATGAAATAAAGGGTATGAAACTGTGAAATTCATTAAGTTTGTAGATAGCTTGACACAGTATTGGGAAGGTGGAAACATACTCAGTCTAAGGTCTTTATGTTATTTTGCCCAAACTTGTGGTGACTCATCACATGCCTCTGTTGCACTGGGTGAAAGGCTGTGGGGAAGTTAATCTTAAAAGCCAAAACTGAGGCTAAGAAATGCAATAAAAGGGTTGGAGAAGCACAAAGTTAGAGGGAGAGAAAGCAGAAAAGTGGAAAATGAAGCACAGCAAGCGCAGGCTCTTGACACAGTCATTTTTTTAATGGATATTTGTGCAGTGTGGTTTAACAGGGACAGTTAACAATCTTACTGTGGTGTAAAGTCTGAACCTGTGCCCCCTGTGCACGCTTCACTGACCACAACAAAATGTGATAGGAGATGAAAGAGAACATTTAACTTTTCACAGGCTTCATCTGCTTGGTTTTTTCTCTGTCACAGTTGACTGGTAGAACAAATTTATCATTTTCATAGCCGGTGTGCATGTTTTCACCATGCTGGCATGCATTAAGAAGAAAGCCCAGCTCTGACTGTGGTGTTGGGTTATGGTGCCTGGCAGCAGCATGGGGACCCTGTCCCGTGGGACACATCCCAGGCAGCAGCTTTGTCCCGCCTGTGTCTTGGTGACAGGCCTGACAGACGGTTCTGTTTTGCTAGCTCAGTTACTGTAGCTGATTGTTTCTGCACCGCTTTCTGCTGCACGTTCAGTCACCCCCAGGATGCAGCTGGGGAGCTCTGCACCTTTGTTCAGGGCATTATTTTCTTCATTCAGCTTCCTTTTCCTGGTAGGATCTGTAAATATGTTTGTGCTGTTTCCACCTGTGATCACAAATGATTTTGCTGTTAATGCTTGTTACTTGTTAAAAATCCAAAGGATTTTTGAATCACAGATACATAAATTTATTGATCCTGGCTATAAGCAGCAGTCAATTTGCCTGATGTTAGCTGGTCAAAGAAGAGTCAGTGTATATTTAATATTTAGAATATTTTGGTATGAATTTTTGGTAGTTGAAGTACTACTTAGTTTCATCATGGAGAGAATTATTTCTGCCATATGTGTTGTGCTTTTCTCTCATTTGCATCCACTCAAATGTCACATTTTTGAGGAACAAAGTATATGAAAATTGTTCTGCTCAAAGTTGTCTATGTAGTCTTAGAAGAGGTGTATTCAGTCTGAAAGCCTAATACTGTGCAATTGTAGAGCAGCCACTGTGGTACGAGAGAAAGGAAACATTACAAATATAAAAATGGGAGGAATGGGGGAAAGTAGAAATGAGTAAAGGGGAAAATAGCCTAAGAATGATGCCACTTCATTTAGAAGGTTTTATCTTCTTTCCAAATACCTCTCAAAAGACAATAAATGGTTCTGTCTCTCAGCCAAGCTGTTCGTTGTGGAAGGTGAGCGTGCGGCAGCTTGACAAGCAGAGTCACCAGCAGGCTGGTGGAGCTGGGCCGGCTCGTGTGGCATCCCCAGAGACCTGCTGGTGCTTCAGGAGGTTGTGATCTTACCTGTACCCCCATGCCGTGGGTGGGCAGTCCCCCAGCACCTCTGCTGTGGCCACAGTGAGTGCCTGTGGAGGAAATGTGGGTTCTCAGGCAGGGAGCTGCTTTGGAGCAGACAGAGGAGTTTTTGCTGCCAGCCTTTACACAGCTGCGAGCAGAGTCATGGTGGTTCCATGAAGAAGAAGAGTCGGCTCATGTGCTGTGTGGCTCGGCATCCTCACCTGTCTGTGTTGCTGACATCCTGGCGCAGCAGTGGTGCTGGCAGGGCACCAGCCGTTGGTGCTGCCGTGCCTCCCACGGCTGCGTCCCGCCTCTTGAATGGTGCCATTCCCAGTCTGTGCTCAGGTTATGTGAAGACAAATGTGGGACAGATGCATCCAATACAGTTTGTCTGTTCTCTGTGTCCAGTTGGCATAGTGCTTTTTAAAGCTTTATGACTCAGGTGGGTTACATTTCACTAGAACAGTGAAAGGATTCCTCCCATTACAGTCTTTAAAAGTCAAATCTAAAATGCACAATGAAGGCCACTTTTCTTAAATGAAGAAACATTACTTCCACATGTAAAAAAACTTCCAACGTTGCTGCTTTGACTGAACCATCTGAACAGCTGTCCTCTGCTACACAAACCTCCTCCTTGTTTTGGGTAAGAATAGTGTGTGCTTATAGGAGTTGGGACATGCAGCATGGCTTTGTTACAGAGCTAGAAACAGGTGCAGTTCTAGCACTTGCCATTGGAAAAAAAAAAAAAAAAAACAACAGAAAAAGAGAGGAAGGGAACATTAGCACCAGCTAGACTATTTTGTGTTGGTAATAGACACCCATTTTCTGTGCTACCATTAGTAGGTGTTTGGGGAGGAAATGGTGACTTGCTAACAAGTGCTCAAGCCACGTATTAAACAGCAAGGGCATTTCAGAACCATTGATGGCCTGGTTATAGATAAAAGTTAGCAGGGTGAATTGGGATGCACCAGCAGCATCCTGGTTCCCTGGATCCAAAGAGAGGAGAGCGTGTTGGTGATGGAGCAGGGACCCCTCTCACTGTGGTGGGCTCATGTTTCAGGTGCTGTGCCGTGCTCTGCTTGGCCTAAGGTACTGCAGCTTTTAAATGAAGCCTTTCTACACCGTAAGAGCAATCTGCAGTGTTTCCACCGGCGTGTGGCAGCTCTGGGATGCCAGGCTGGCTGCTGCTCCTCGGTAGTTCTCTGAGAATGGTTGCTGGTTTTGGAATGAAAATCTCCCAGTAACTTCCCGGCCCCTGGCACTAGATGGAGCTTCAATCTACTTGCACTTGGAAGTCTGTTAAGTTCAACGACAAGATGAAAATACATGGGAAGAATACATGAAGATATGCATGCCTGCTGCTACACTTACAGCACCTCTTTCCATGTTTTTTAGCAGAGTGGTGTAAACCACAATTTAATCTAAATGAAAATTAAAATATTGCCGCAGAATCTGCTTGTTTTAGTGCATGCGTTGCAATCATAGCACCCTTTAACGTACTCGCAGGTTCATGGTGGAAGTTGCTGTAAGTTAAGTGTACTGGAGCTGTGCTGCAGAACTAAGGTAATGCCTCAGCTGTGCAGAATAAAGGTAATGCCTTTTCTGAACAAAGTACCTGGTTATATTTCAGGATGTGGTCGGGATGACCACCCTTTCTCTTTGTTGTGCTCATGCAAAAATACATTTGTATTTTCACTTTGTGCTACCAAAACTAACATTTCAGAGTCATCTAAGTCACTTCATTTTTCCTCCATGTATTACCCTTGAAAATATTGAACAAGTAGAAACAAACAAAAATGAGCTTTGAAAATGTAATGTTCATACTTCTCATTTAGCAAGCACCATGTCTCACAGGCCACACACACAGCAGAAATTCAGACCATCTTTTCCTTCCATAGAAGTAACTGGAAGTAGATTTAGTTTTGTTCTTGGGTGCCCGTGATCTTATGAGCAAGAGTCTGGTTTACTCAAAACTCTTGTCCAAGCACTGAAGTTGTCATAAAAGAAACTGAAGTTGGGAAACGAAATGGTGGCACTCATAATAGATTTTGTCATTAAAGCACTGAAATATTGTTTTATTGCTTCACTACAAAATCTGACTTTGAATTTCAGTCTTCATCAGAACTTTGTGCCAACCAGCAGGAGGATAGGGACAGGTGGGGTGCCCAGAAGGCCTCAGGAGGGCAGGGAGCATTTGTGGGGTGCCTGGGGTGTCCTGCAGAGATTGCACAGAAATTGTCATTGTGTTCTCTTAAAGAAACCTTTGCTTGTTTTTTTTAAATAAATCTATTACTTGCCTCAGGAATGCCTGTTATGCTTGGTCTGGGACATTAGAGGAAGGTCTTTTGAAATCTTACACCTCAGCTTTAAAGTGTTATTCTATCATTTGCCATTGCACTACGTCTGTCACTCTGTAGCCTTCCAGAGAAGGGGAACTTCAATACTTACTAATTTACGAAATATTCAACCATTTTGGTTCATTTTGATTTCTCTTCAGTGAACAAATGAGGTTGTGAGCCAAAATCTTTCAGCTCTATCACAGCTGAATGTTAGTCGGTGAGCAGGCAGTCATTTTGTCATGTTGTGCCCCTCTGGCAGGGACAGAACCACTCATTGAATAGGAGAGGCTTGAGCAGGACATGGGCACTGGACTGCCCTGCAGCAACAGGATAGATCTGCTTCCCAGGCTGTTCAGAAAATCTTTTTCTGGATCTCTTGAGACTGTAGTTGCAGAAACATGGGCACTTGGGAGTTCAGGACTGCTGGAGCTCCAAGTCCCTGAAGTGACCAGACCCTTCTGAAGGCTGTTGTGAGGAAGAGGACATTTGCCAGAGCAGGAACTGGACTCGAGTCTGGTCCTGCAGCCTCTGATAGCTGCTCTCTTTGTCTTCCCGGATCATGAAACACCTGTGTCTGAGCTGGTTTCAGAATGACTGGCATGAGAACAGGTGCCAGGAGCGTGGAAGTGCTGTGCTGTGGGTAACTTCCAAACCAGCGTTTGCAGGGAGCTGCCACAGGAGCTGTGTGTTGGGCCATGGCATTGCTGTTAGACACAGGTGATGGGTGGGGAGCACAGCAGGTCTGCTCCACACCCAGGGATGTGCTCCCTTGGGAAGAGACTGCTGCTGGGCCTGGGGGGGCCGTGCTTTGGGAAAAGGCTGGAGCCAGAAGTCTGGCTCTGTGCACGGCTGGTTCCTGTTCCTAGCCTGGGCAGAGCTTGGGTTAGTGACCAGGGCAGGAACCTGAGGGGACACCATGCCCAGTGCTGTGGCAGTGCCCTTGGAGTGCAGCAGCTCTCAGAATGACAGGGACAGCCACGGTTCCATGAATAGCAAACCAAGTGACCTAATTCAGCTCTCATGGGCAGCCCTCAGCTGCTCCATGGCTGCTGCACTGGAGCTGACTCATCACTTCCAGAGTGGCCGAGATTGGAGCTTTCAGGCCCTAAGGATTTTGCTGGTTTGTTATTAATTTTAAATTGATTAAAATGAATTTTTAAAATACCAGGAGACACTTGCCTAAAGAAATGGTTATTAAAAAAACAGAAGGAAATAGTTGGTCTGTGGGAGTTAACTGTGTGCTTAACAACTGCTGGCTTCTGCAGCTGAGGACACCCGTTGCAGCTTGGAGGAGTCTTATGTCAGCTGTTCTGTCCTGGCAGATTAGCAAGAACAGGATTAATCCATCATTATTATAAAAAACTGAGAACTAGAAACTGTCCTTGCTTATACCCAGCACAACCCCCTGGTGTCCTTGTCCACGGCAGAGTGGTATTACAATCTCACCTATGCAGCTTTGTCCAGAACTCAAGATCTCCTGGGGACGTGCATCCCTGCAGGAGCATCCCATTCTCTCCAGCATCTCCCAGTGCAGACAAAGCTCCTCACATGGTCCTGAGACTCTGTGGGGTGGCCTGTGGGCTGTCTGTACTAGGAACAGGCTGTGTCTAGGAACAGGCTGTGTGTCCCCTGCTCAACCTCCTGGGGAGGGTGCCATAGCCAGGGTGGGCAGGACAGATGGGTGGAGGATCCTTTTTACCATTGTCAGAGGGCAGTTCTAAATAAGCTTCCCCCCCAGGATGTTCTCAGTGCTGTGCCCGCCTCTGCTGTGCCAGGGGGAGCTGCCTTACCCTGTGGAGCAGGGAGATTGTTCTCTCCAAAGACTTCCATCTGCTGCAGTGTTAACTGCACAAGTCAGGCTTATGCAGAGAGATGAAGCTTTTCCCTTCTGCCTCTCCCCTTTCCCTCTGGTGGGGCAATGGGTGCAGCCCAGCAGCCCAGGGTTGCCCACGGACAAGCCCAAGCCACTGCCACTAAGGATCCTTCTGTGCCATGGTGGGCTCCAGAGATGCAGGAACCCCTTTCTTGGAGGCTACAGAAACAAGGTCAGAGCTCAAACTCGATAGGGGTTTCTCCCTGAGAGTTCATCCTGGGGCCACCACCCCTCAGTGTTCTTCCCACTGCTCTGGAGGTCTGTGGGCTGCATGGTCAGGATGCCATGCAAGGTCTGGCCCTGGTGTGTTGGTAGGGATGGTGCTCTGGTCCAGTGGAAGTCAGGGTGAGCTCAGGCAGCATAAACAGATTAATTGATGCAGTTTTTTGTCCAGTAAATAAACACCAACAAATTAAAAAAAAAAAAATGGGTAGGTGGAAAGTTCCATGGTACTTCAGAGAACACAGAGCAGGAAGGTGAGAGGTGTGAAGGAGCAGAATATGGAATCCACCTGAAGACAATGAAGCAGCAGACATTGTCTGTCAGCCTCTTTTATGTCTGTCTTAAAAAAGAGACCTGTTCTTTCAGTGAAACCAAAGAATGAAAATTAAAAAGCAAAGCAATACAGAACAATAGACTTCTGCAAAAACAAATTGACACTTCCTACTGATTGAAGTAATGGAGCAGCAAGTTTTACCAACTTGCATAAAAGCACCTTTGGTCTGCTTTAAAAATCCCTGTAAAAGACACAGTGATGCCATTCCTGTGCTGTTCACCTGTCTGTTCTCACCTCTAGATGTCAAAAGCTGAAGTGGTCTACCTTCATGTGCCAAAGCAGAGCCAGTTTCTGCTGCCCCTGCCCTGCTCTCAGCGTCCTTGCCCATGGTGCTGTACAGCAGCTGTTGCTGTGGGAGAGCCTGGCTCGTGGAACACACAGAGGTGCTGCTCACTCACCTTGTGTCACATGGGGTGGCTGGAGAAGCCCATCTCTTTCCTGCATGCTCTGAGACCAGGTGAGGTGGGTTCCTCCTTAAGACTTGATGTGCCACTGTTGGCAGCAGAGGTCTGTCCTGGCTGGTTCTCACTTGCTGTGAGGGGCTTCCTTTGGCTGCACTTTGGGACCCAGGAATGATGACAAAAAGAGCAGTTTGTGTTGTGTGGCATGGAGACAGATGTTCTATCATAGAATGGCTTATATGAAGGCTTTCACGTTTCAATTTCTTTCCAACCAAACTACTTTCCAAATTAGTAAATTATATGAACAAATTCCTTTTTGTGCTCAGACAGAATCAGATTTGGTGTTTAACTCAAATTAGAAAATTATGAAGTCAAGTAGGAAGAACACTGAGTTACAAAATGTTCTTGCTTCATTCATTTTGCCAGTTATAATTTTAGTTTTAATTATTTATGGCACTAGTTAATTTACAGTAGCATATTTTGGTACAGTATTAAAATTAGTGACAGGAGAGTGATTGCAACACTTGCTGTTTACCATTTGCTGAGTAATATACACATTAATTATGCATATATTAGAATGGCTTTAAAGTACATGTAGCTTCAGTTGGAGGCTTAAGGTGTTTTAGACATGTTTGTTCTTCATATAGTTAAAAATAGTGTCCTCTAAGACCTTATCCTAAAGTAGTACATGAAATCAGTGTCTATTCATGGAAGGAAGGTTCTGGCAATGTGAAAATTCTTTCAGTCTTTGTAGGGCCAGGCCTCATCAAGCAGACATTAAAGAGCACTTCACTGTTTTAAGGGCAATATTCTTATATAAAGTTATTTTATTCCTACTTCTTTTTAGATGAAAGGGTCCAACAAGCCTGCCTTCTCAGTCCTGTACAAGCTGCTCTGTTTAAGCACTGCTGTTGTTTATGAGAATACAGGTGTAGGGGTGGAAAAGTACAGTCCTTGGGCACATGAAACATGATTTTGAGAAAACAAAATGTTGTCAGGTTCACAAGGAAAACAAACATGAAAATAAAGCAAATATTTTTTCACACTTGTTTAAGTTTTATCACTCAACTGTGCTATTTCTAGTAGTTGTAGACATAACATTTTGCAGAAACACATTTGAGAGATCAATTCAGCTGGCAGTACTAAGTTTCCTGTACTGATACCACATCTTGCCAACAATCCTATCCTGTGGTGGGAATTGTGTTCAGTTACCTACAAGACAACTGGCTGCCCTCATTATGCATTTCCATTTTTTTGAGCCAGAGATAAGATATTCCCAACT